CCCTAGTTGGGTTGGGTGACCTCTTGGTGGACCTTCTTGGCCTTGGTGACCTCATTGGATCAACCAAGCCCTGGTTGGGTTGGGTGACCTCTTGGTGGACCCTCTTGGGGTCAACCAATCCATGGTTGGATTGGGTGACCCCTTGGAGGTCCTACTTGGGGTCAACCAAGCCCTGGTTGGGTTGGCCAAGCCCTTTGGGTCAACCAAGCCCTGGTTGGGTTGGGTGACCTCTTGGTGGACCTTCTTGGCCTTGGTGACCTCTTTGGGTTGGCCAAGCCCTTGGAGGACCCTCCTTGGGTCAACCAAGCCTTGGTTGGGTTGGGTGACCCCTTGGTGGACCTTCTTGGCCTTGGTGACCTCTTGGGGTCAACCAAGCCCTGGTTGGGCTGGGTGACCCCTTGGTGGACCTTCTTGGCCTTGGTGACCTCTTGGGGTCAACCAAGCCCTGGTTGGGTTGGCCAAGCCCTTGGTGGACCCTCTTGGGGTCAACTAAGCCCTGGTTGGGTTGGGTGACCTCCCACTCCAAAAACCCCCCCAAAACCCCCCCCAACCCCCCCCCCCCCAAGCTGTGGGTACCTGGCAGGAGTCCTGTCCGCCGGCGACGTTGCCGGCGCAGATCATGTTGGGGGTGATGGAGCCGGGGTAGAAGTCCTGGCACTCGGCGGGCGAGAAGAGGGTGACGTTGACGCACTGCAGGACCTCGGGGTACGTCACTTTGGGGGGACACAAAGAAAGGGAAAGGGCTTTGGGGATCGTCCTAAAAAAATTCGGGGGGTTTGGGATCAAATTTGTCCCCAAAAATCGACACCAAATTCCATCCTGGGACAATTTGGGGACACAGAAAGAGGGAAAGGACTTTGGGGATCGTCCCCAAAAAAATTTGGGGGGGATTTGGGACCATCCCAAAGAAATTTTGGGGGGTTTGGGATCAAATTTGTCCCCAAAAAATCCATCCTGGGACAATTTGGGGACACAAAGAGAGAGAAAGAGAAGTTTGGGGATCGTCCCCAAAAAAATTCGGAGGGGGGTTGGGATCAAATTTGTCCCAAAAATCGACACCAAAATCCATCCTGGGACAATTTGGGGACACAGAAAGACAGAGGGAAAATTTGGATCATCCCCCCAAAAAATTTGGGGGGGATTTGGGATCACCCCCCAAAAATTTGGGGGGTTTGGGATCAAATTTGTCCCCAAAAATCGACACCAAATTCCATCCTGGGACAATTTGGGGACACAGAAAGAGGGAAAGGACTTTGGGGATCGTCCCCAAAAAAATTTGGGGGGGATTTGGGATCATCCCAAAGAAATTTTGGGGGGTTTGGGATCAAATTTGTCCCCAAAAAAAATCCAATCTGGGAGAGGTCAAGGATGGGAAGGGGAATTTTTTTTGGGGGGGAGGGGAAGGGGGTCGGGTGGTTGGGAGGGGACACGGAAGATCAGGAGGTGACCAGGAGGTGACCAGATGACCCAGATGACCACAAGATGACCCAAATGACCATGAGTCAACCCAGATGACCACGAGGTCACCAGATGACCACGAGGTGACCAGATGCCCACGAGGTGACCCAAATGACCACAAGGTGACCCAGATGACCACGAGGTGACCCAGGTGACCATGAGGTGACCCAAATGACCACGAGGTGACCAGATGACCACGAGATGACCAGATGAGAACCCAGATGACCAAGAGAAGACACAGATGACCATGAGTCAACCCAGATGACCATGAGGTGACCAGATGACCACAAACCAAGCAGGTGAGAACCCAGATGACCATGAGGTGACCCAGATGACCACGAGATGACCATGAAAAGACCCAGATGACCATGAGGTGACCCAGGTGACCACGAGGTGACCCAGGTGACCATGAGGTGACCCAAATGACCACGAGGTGACCAGATGACCACGAGATGACCAGATGAGAACCCAGATGACCAAGAGAAGACACAGATGACCATGAGTCAACCCAGATGACCACGAGGTGACCAGATGACCACGAGGTGACCCAGGTGACCACAAGGTGACCCAGATGACCACGAGGTGACCAGATGACCACAAGGTGACCATGAGCCAACCCAGATGACCAAGAAAGGACCCAGACGAGCAGAAGGTCACCAGATGACCACGAGGTGACCCAGATGACCACCAGGTGACCCAGATGACCACAAGGTGACCACGAGCCGACCCAGATGACCACGAGATGACCCAAATGACCACGAGGTGACCCAGACGACCACGAGGTGACCCAGATGACCACAAGGTGACCCAGATGACCACAGGGTGACCACGAGCCGACCCAGATGACCACGAGATGACCCAAATGACCACGAGGTGACCCAGACGACCACGAGGTGACCCAGATGACCACGAGATGACCAGATGAGAACCCAGATGACCACGAGGTGACCCAGACGACCACGAGGTGACCCAGACGACCACAAGGTGACCCAGATGACCACAGGGTGACCATGAGCCAACCCAGATGACCATGAGGTGACCCAGATGACCACAAGGTGACCACGAGCCGACCCAGATGACCACGAGGTGACCCAAATGACCACAAGGCAACCAGGTGAGGACCCAGATGACCAAGTGACCACGAACCAACCCAGATGACCATGAGGTGACCCAGATGACCACGAGGTCACCAGATGACCATGAGGTGACCCAAATGACCACGAGGTGACCCAGATGACCACGAGATGACCCAGCTGCCCCCCCCCCCTCACCTTACCTTCCGGCGAGGTGGTGGCCCCCCATCCCGAGGTGGTGCAGGCCGTGCCGGGCCTGGGCAGGCAGGAGGCCACGGGGATGGGCCGGACGCGGTCCGAGAGGGCGGCCGGGGTCAGCAGCTTGAGGAGCATGATGTCGTTGTCCTTGGAGGAGGAGTTGTAGCCCGGGTGGGCCAC